GATTGTAACCATGGCAATGAAACGATATATGATAGAATGAATGTAAAACTAATGTTCTTCCATGTAAACTATCAAATAATTACAATAAACCATAAAAAAAAATTTTAAATAAATAGTGACGGTGGAGGAATGTTAAAAAAAAACAACAATAGGATGAATGTAAAACTGATATCCTCCCATGTAAACCCACAATTCACAATAAAAACTTAACGAAAAAAAAAAAAAAAAGAGTTACTCACTGTCTGAACTATGGATTATTCAAGGCCACCAGTCATTAAAATAACAAATTTTCCAATAGTTGTAACCAACTCCATGGCATATAGGCACAACCACCACCACCACTGATCCAGGGCCACCTCTCTTGGACTCACCAGCAAGAAGCGGAGTTGAATTAATCCTGGAGAATCTGATTTCGGATTCTTTCAAACAATGGCACCAGAATTTTAATGCAGCTGTAAGTAAAGATTATAGTAGTACCTGATGAAGGCAAAGGGGAAGTGCCCTGGAGTCCAGCTGCTCCACTTCACCTTGTACAAGCGAGAACAGGTACTGCAGAACTAGCTTTGGAGCTTCTAGTTGTTCATTAGCATTTACTTCAGCATCGTCTTCAGCACCAACAGCTTGTGTGGCTGCACTGACTGTCTTTTCTTGCATTAAAGGTGTACTAACCCCCGAAGAAAGTCCTTTAAGAAGTAAACAAAACATCTATGTTAAGGATAAATTCCCATCAAGATGGAACACCTTAAAACAATCATGTTTGTTAATCAGAAAACCTTCAAATAAAGTTAAAATCAATGAAAAAAGCCAGAAACCACAAATTATTGTCCTCATTAAGACTGTGCTGACATCTGATTGCTTCTATTAGCATATACATAAACCTTTTTTTTTTTTTTGCAGAAATATAACTAAGAATATTAATTTAAAAATTATACAAAGCAAAGTATGCAGGTTAAAACCTGGCCAAAAAGTTGATTTTCCTAAAGGAAAAATGGATTCGCTATAATTTTAAGTACCAGTTTGCCTGAAATGAAAGAGGACTAAACATGAGGTAAACGTATTTATCACAGGAAATGGTTAGAGGTGAGCCCTCCTCTCTACACTGTAGTCTATCACTCTAGAATTACTTTTCTATCCCTAGAGAGCAGCAGAAATTTAGGAATTCAGTGCCACTGAAATGTCTTTCCTAATAAAAAAGTTGAACAACATAAACTTGTAGAAACAATAAAGGTTTAAATAAATGTCTAACCAACTGCTCCTAAAATGATACACTAAATTAATTTTTTTTTTAAATTTTAAAGTTCAACTTATAGGATCTCAGCATCAGATCTAATTTTCATGGTCAAATTGAATAGGCTGTCGACATCTGTACATATCTTCAGCTCTTCAGCTCTTCAGCTAGTCTGTCTCTGTAAAGATTTTTCAGTATGTTGTTAGGTGCTGTTGAGTCAGTTCCAACACATAGGGACCCGATGCACAACAAAATTTCACACTGTGGGTCTTAAGCCATCCTTACAATTGTTATTATAATTGAGCCCACTGCTGCTACCACTGTGGCAATCCATCTCCTTTGGTGGGTGGGTGGGGGGTTCCCACTTTCTCATAGATACTCCATTTTACCCAGTATGAGGGACTGGCCCCTACTGATTAGAGAGATGAGGTCTCACCATTCCTTGCTTCTAAGGAGCATTCTTGGCTGTACTTCTTCCACAATCAAGGTTGCCCCCCTCCTAAGTGGCTCTTGCCCATTCTTGTTATTGTTGTTAAGTGCCATCGAGTCAGTTCTGACCCATAGAGACCCTGTATAGGGCTTCCGAGGAGTGGCTGATGAGCTGGAACCCCTAACCTTGTAGTTCAAACTGACTATGCAGTCCAGCACATTAATTCACAGTGCCACACCCTAATAAAATGCCTTGAAATTTTCTGTGCAATCTCTGTCAGTGATGGAGAACAAATTTCCGAGGAGCTTCCAGACTAAGCTTTACTAGGAGAAAAGACCTGGTCATCTACTTCTGAAAATCAGCCAGAGAAACCCTAAATTGGATCAGTGATCAGATCCTGTTGTGCTTGGAGTCACCATGAGTCAGGGATTCCTCAGTGGTAGTTAACAATGTTATATACTCATATTTTACCAAACCACAATCTGTGTCCTTCTCTTTCACATGAGCCTGAAGTTACCTTACTGTCCTAGGTATCTTGTATGTGGCCTCACAGTATATAGCAAGCAGGGCTGCATTACAGTAATGAGTGCAAAAGCTTCATCACTATTAGAGGATACCTTTCACAGCACAGGGGTTATTTATGCACCCAATTGTATCCAGCAGAGTATCTTGGCACTATAATTCCAAGTCTTGTGCCTCTTTGTTTAAACACCTAAGGTGTTTCTTTTGAAATGTAGAGAAATTCTTTATTATGAATTTTATGTCAGCTGGTCTCTATTTCTTTTTAAATGTTTTTTTGTGAGTTGGGTGAATAATAACAGAGCATATTAGTTTTTCTGTTCAAGAATTAATAAACATTTTGCTTCACCTGACCGACTGCAGTCCCCTCCAAGGGACATCACTTACCTCACTTCCTCCCTGTGTTTCCTGTTTCCATCCCTCCTTCTTTCCTTATCATTTGAACTGTCTGAACTTAGTCTTGGGAAAAATGGTGCCCTTGTAAACTCAAATGGATGATTACTCTGAGGAGTGCATACCTCCCTAGTGTTACTGTTCCCCCTTACACACCTGTCTATTGTTTGGTTGAAAATTGAGCTCTGGCTATGAGTTAATTTCTAGACCTGAACTGTGACTAAGGATCATCATCTCTGGGGTTCCACCAGTCTCTATCTGACCAGTAAGCCTGCTCTCTTTTTATTATTATATTTTGAGTTTTGTTCCACTTTTTCTCCCACTGTTTCAGGACTTTCTAATGGGATCCCTTTCAGAGACATCAGCAGCAATGGCCAGATCCCATTTCATTCTTAAGGTCTCAAAGTCATGGAGACTGAAGTACATGTAGTTCATTGGAACTCTGGAATAATCATTTCCCTGCACCTTTAATTTTCTTCACTCTTCTTTGCTCTGGACAGAGAGAGGTCAATAGTAGAACCTTAGATAGCCGCTCACAAGTTTTATGACCCTAGTCACTACTCACTAAGTAGAATGTAGAGCACTGTCTTTTGTAAACTATGTTATGCCAACTGACCTGCAACTATGGTCCCAAGCTTCCAGGAACAGTGACTCATTCCCTCCAGGTGTTATGTTAAGGCTAAGAAATTTATATACCTTTGATCCTAGTTTGCTCCATTATAAACATATATATGCTTGCAGTTCACACAAATATGTTTATACAACTATCATCTGCCCAACAGATAAATGGTCGAGTGTATGCCCTTTTGCCTACTCATGCCTGTTCATCTCACCTGCCTGTCTATGTATCCACCTGAAGATAAGAATTTGTTACTTCTTAGAATACAGAATGTGTATGTAATGGTTTTTATCTTTGTTGTCTGTAACTCTAGTACACTTCTCCAATTCTTTTAATGATATTGTGTTAGAAAACAGTATGATGCTTCCTTAAGAAGTTGTAAATAGAAAGTACTATTTGATCCAGCAATCTCACTAATAGATATATTTCTATCCTAAAGAAAGAAGAGCCAGGGTACTGACATATATATGTACACTTACGTCCACTGGAGCATTGGTGACAATTGCAAAGAGATGAAAACAACCTAAATATCCACCAACGGATGAATGGATTAAAAAACTATGCTATACACAGAATAGAATATCATGCAATATTTAAGAATAACAAAGAATCTGCAAAACACCTCAAAAAAAAAAGGGGGGGCAAATATTGTTTGAGTCCACTATTATAAAAAGTCAAGGAAAGGTTTGCACACACAAAAAAAGAATAAAAGCAATTCTTTGATGGTTACCTTTACCTAAAATATTAGGAACTTCACTTTAGAAGGTCCTGGAGAGAGAGAAAATGTGGAACAAAACTCAAAAAGTTTTAAAAACTGGGCTTACTGGTTAGAAAGAGACGAGGAACCTGAGACTTGGTCACTCTTCAGGTCTGGAACTGAACTCAGCCAAACAGTAGACACATATATAGTGGGGGCAACAATACTAGTAAGTTATGCTTCACCAAGGAATGCTCAACCATTCAAGATCAGAAGGACAACATTTACCTAAAGACGAAGTTCAGCAGGGTTGGGAAGGAGGGTGGAATGGAAACAAGAATCACAGGAAAGAAGTGAGATAACTGAAGCTACACAGAGGAGACTGCAATGAAACAAAGTATATCATCTGCTGATTGTAAAACTGGTAATCTACTTTGTAAACCTTTATGTATTTCAAAATACAAAGTTAGCAATGTACCCTGACATTATTCATGTCCCTTTAAATAAGCTAGCATTGATCAGATACTTGTGAATATATTTTTCACTGCATGATAAATAATTATCACATACAAAATGGTAGAGTAGGAAAGGCCTGTGGCTTTTTCACTTGTTCGTGCCCCAACTACTCCACAGCTCATTAGTATTAAGTGTATCCAGTAAGTTCTGGCTCTTAGAGACCCTAAGCATACCAGAATGAAGCACTACTCCATCCTGTGCCATCCTCACAATTGTAAGTTTGAACCCACTGTGGCTGCCACTGGGTCAAATTCATCTCATGGGAATCTTCCTTTTTTTAGCTGACCATTCACTTTGCCAAGATAACTCAGGGACTTATTCCTCCTGACAATATGTCAATAAGATGAAAAACGAAGTCTCACCATGCTCACTTCTAAAGAGCATTCTACCTATACTTCTTCCAACACAGACTTTGTTCTTCTAGCAATCCACATTACTTTCAATATCCTTTGCCAACACCATAATTCAAATGCATCAATTCTTCTGTGGCCTCAACTCATAACGACCTGTATAGGGTTTCCAAAAATTAGCTGGTTGAGTCTGAACCATCGCCGGCTTTGTGGTTCAAACCGACCTTGTGATCCAGTGTTTTTCCTACAGTCCCACACCAGGATATGAGTCCACTGGAAATATCATAGCTTAGGTCAGGTATACCTTATTCCTCCAACTATCTTTGTTCTTTAACACTTTGAAGACGTCTCTTGCAGATTTGCCTAATGCTGTACATACTTTGATTTCTTGACTGCTACCTCAAGGAGTGTTGATTGAGGATACAAGCAAAATGATCATAATGAAATGGTCATGATGCTATTTACTAATCCAGTACTTTTGTTTTCTTTATATTTAGGTGTAATCTATATTGAAGGGTGTAATTAATGATCTTCATGAGTAAGAATTTCAAGTCCTCTTTCCTTCCAGCAAGCAAGATTGTAACACCTGCATATCGCAAGCTATTAATGAGTGTTGTCATTAGGTGCCATAAAGTTGACACCAACTCATAGCAATCCTAAGCACAACAGAATGAAACATGCACCAACCTCACAACTGTTGCTACACCTGAGCCCATTGCTACTGCCACTGTGCCAATCCATCTTGTTGGGGGTCCTCCTCTTTTTCTCTGACCTTCCACTTTACCAAACTGACATCCTTCTCCAAAGACTGGCCCCTCCTAATAATATTTCCAAAGTATGAGAGACAAAGTCTGGTCATCCTGGCTTCCAAAGAGCATTCTCTACCTGTACTTTTTCCAACACACATTGGTTTGTTTATTGACAATCCATT